AGGATGGTTATGCATCATCAGTTGTGTTTAATTTCTGAAGAAGTGTGGGTGCTGACCACAAGTAGTATCGAAAATATGCAGAGGATTATTTTGATACCTATATTTATTTTAAAAGGGGAGGAGGGCAGGAAATGGATTTCTATCAAAAGTAGCTACTTTATGTTGTTATCTGTAATAGACATAGTAAAGCTTTATTTATAGTCTTTGATTAGGTTTAAATAAAGCCAAAAAAAGGGGGAGGGTGTTTATGGGTGTTTATGTAGAGTGTAATACTATTATGCTAAAATGCTCAATGGAAAAGTAAAACAATATAATACAATCTGAGTTTAAAAAAGTGCACAGAAAACTATTAGAAGGAAATACACAAAATGTTTACTTAATAAAAAAACAAAAACTTAAAGCACTAGCTGAAGAATTTTGTGAGATTTTTAAAAACAGGAAGACGCAAATGGCAATGACGATCACGAACGGCACCACTTACTGCCGTTCATTTATTTGGCAGTATTCTCAAAACAGTAATACACAGTCACACACCATTTTCCAAACAATAGGGGGCAAACCATTTGTGAGTCCTAAATCATTTAACGGGTCAAAACTAGCATCTTTCAAAAAGATAAAGCAGAATAAGATAGAAAATAGAGTGCACAGCACCTAGTGAAGGAAAGTATTATTTTGTGAAAGCTTTGTTTTAGTCATATACGTGTGTATATATATACATTCAAAGCCACACATAAATACAAGCACTGAGTCATAACTTAGCAGGTATTTTTAACTATAAGTCGTAGTCAAAAAAGTTTGACATTAAGCAATCAAATTAACAACCATAAGTTATCCAAGAAATGGGAGGGAACCAATCAAAAAGGCCTTTTTTTGTTGAGCTTCGGTTTAAAGAAAGCACCCTTAGTGAAGTGGTACAGCCTTCCTGAACGCACCGGGGGCTGCTGAACTGATGACCTTGCGAATCTCAGGAGTGGCCTCTTCAAAGGTGGACCACTCCTCACTTTTTCAGGTTTTTTGAAAAGCAAAGAGGTAAGAAAGTTTGCTTTTCTTTGGGAAAGACAGAGTTAGCTGCATGACTCAGGCATCAAAACCGCACTTTTATAGAAGAGCTGGGGACTGAGGTTAGTTCACAGAAAATAATTTTCCTTTGAAAATGACAGTTTTCTTTGAATAAAATTCATTCTAAAAAAATATAGCGGGAACAACTGCAGCATGTAAGTAAACTTAACAAAGCCTATTTGTATTCAACATCTCTTAATTCTCACAACCACCTATGAGGAACCCCAAAAACTCATTGCCACTGAGCTGATTCCAACTCATAGTGACCCTACAGCATAGGTAGAACTGTCCCACAGGGTTTCCGAGGAGTGGCTGGTGGATTTGAACTGCAGATCTTCTGGTTAGCAGCCAAGCTCTTAACCACTGTGCCACCAGGGCTCTGCCTATGAGGAAGGGGTGTCACTATCATACACTTAAATACAGAATGAGGACATCGAGGGGGTGGGCTCATTAAGCTGCAGTTGAGTCCTGAAATCTGGCCTTTCTTCTCTATCCTAATGTGCTGTGAGCTAGTGAGAGAAAAAACCAGTACCAGTTGCCATCAACTCCAACTTATGGAGACTCCATGTGTCACAGTAGAACTGTGCTCCATAGGATTTTCAATGGCTGATTTTTAGGCAGATCATCAGGCCTTTCTTCCAAGGCACCTCTGGGTGGACTCAAATCTCCCACTTTTCAGTTAGCAGCCAAGCACGTTATCCATCTGCACCACCCAGGGACTCCAGGGAGGGAAAAGCTGATGCTTATTTTTCCATTATGGGAAGGATTCTGACTGTAGGAGGTAAGATAAGTTACATGTAAAGAGGCTTCTGCTCCCTGACCTTTCTTCCATTCTCCTCATCTGTTCAACGGGGAGAACTCTACTTACTTTGCAGGGTGGTGTAAGGATCAGCGATGATACCTGTGAGCGACCAGCTCTGTGCTTAGTTCAAAGTCAGACCTCAGTACATGGTAGCTGCAGCCGCTGGTGGCTAAGTGGATAGTGTGCCTTCTCCAGGGGCAGGGTACACACTTCCTAACAGCCAAGCCAAGGCTCCAGACACGCTAAGTAACACCTCTGGCTTGGACCAGAGATGGGCCACCCACCTCCCAACCTCAGCAATCCCACAGGCTCCCTCTTAGGCAGGCTAGCTCCTGCCTTTCCCTTCATCTTCTTCTAAGCTAGAGGCCCAGAGGATCCACAAATGGGCTTCAGTGACCTGGGAACCCCCTGACATTAGATGTAGAACCATGTGAATCCCTTGACATTGGATGTATATGTATATGTTTCTGGGGTGAGGAGCCATTGCTTCCAGCTGACTCTCTGAGGTTATGTATTTGCACCACCCCTCACCCCAAATTAAGAACTACTGCACTAAATTACTTATTGCAAATCACATACCTCCCCATATTCTGTCTCCTGTCAGAGCATAACCACATTTGTGACTCATGCCAGATGTGAACTTTGGGTGTATAAACAATTTGGGAAAGCCTTTATAAACTACATAGCTTTAATCAGACATCAAAATACCTACATTTAAGAGAACACTTGTAATGAACCATGCTAAAAGTGACGTACGGAAGGTCTACTATATGCCAGGCACCGTGCCAGGTGCTTCACACATGATGTCCAAACCGTCATACATGCATTTATCTTATTGTGCTTGACACGCCAGGCATGATACTAAGTAATGTGGATATAACAGTGAGAAATTAAAGACAGGGTATCTGCCCTCATGGAGAAAAAGATATTAATCAAAGATCACCCAGGAAAACGTAAAATTGCAACTGTGCTAAATACTACAAAGAGAGACACAGTACTATGAGAATGGCTAACAGACAGAAGAAACCTTTTTACAGTGGTCAGGGAAGGTTTCCTTGAGGAAATGATGATTAAGCTCAAATATGAAGAAAGAGTAAATAGTTAACTAGGCAAAGCAGAGGTGGTGCGGGGAGGCAGAAGACAAAGGAGAGAGGAGTGTTCCAGGCAAAAGGCACGTGCAATGGCCCTGTGGCAAGAGAGCACCTAGCACACATAAGGAGGCTGAAGGCCAGTCTGGCAGGAGTGCAAAGTGACAGGGAGCACGGAAAAGATTGGGGCTGGCTGCACAAAGGGGCCAGGTCACACAGATTCTCAGATGCCACATTAAGGAATTAAGTTCTTCTCCTTACACACGGAAGACACTGAAGATGAGTGCAGCATCAGGCAGGTGAAGGAAGGGAGACAGAGGGAACGGCATGTCTGTGGACAGAGACAAGGGGGGAAAGCACGGCTGCCTGGAGGGCACAGTTGTAACCAGGGCACAGGTTGCATCTTGGGGGACAACAGGAGATGAGGCTACAGAGGTGAGCAGAAGCAGACTTGAAGAGGCCTTAAATGCCAAGCAAAGTAGTTTTAACTTTATCCTGAAGTCAACAGGAACCATAGAAGGGTTTTAAGTAGAAGAGTGGTGGATCAAATTTACATGTTAGGAAATGCATTTGGGCAGGAATGTGAAGGATGATGGGAACATTCACGACCACAGGTAAGGAGGCCATTAAACTTCTACAAGGCCATCAATCTGCCCAGCTTCTGATGATCTTTTCTAGAACAAGATGGGGTATAAACCAACAACCAAAGTATCATCTGTATAATTTGTTTGGCACTTCTCTTCCATTACCTGTATTTCTAGTTAACTTCCACAAGTCAATGTCTCATCTCCCCTAGAAGACCTTAACTTAGTTGAGAACAGGTATGATTAAACCTACAATTCCTGGTCCATAAGGATGTTCTCAATACATGTGCCAAGATGTTCCAGGCTTTCCTGAGATACTACCCTATCTGAGGAAGGATGCTAAACAAGAGGTCAGCAGTTCAAACCTGCTCCGTGGGAGAAAGATGTAGCAGTCTGCTTCCGTGAAGATTTACAGTCTTGGAAACCCTACGGGGCAGTTCTACTCTGTCTTACAGGGTCGCTGTGAGTCAGAATTGACTTGATGGCAGTGGGTTTGTTTTTGGAATGTCAATAAGACAAGTGCTAGACGCTATGTAGACACAGACAGATAAGACATGTCCTCTGCCCTCAAAGAGCTTACACTCTAATAGGGCATAAAATATTTAATTTGTACAAGGTTTGTTGTTGTCGTTAGTTGCCGTCGATGTCAACTCATGGCAACCCCATGTGTGGTTGAGCAGTGAATAAAGATCAGGTAATAAGTGCAGTGAGTTGGGAGGTGGGATAGATCACACATGGCCACACCCATAAGAGAAGGCTTCAAGGTGAAGGTAGAATTTAAGGCGAGCTTAGGAATGGGTAGAATTTCATTAAGTAGGGAGAGTTTCTTAGGATTTTCACAGGTAAATATGTTTCAGGATGATGATACAAGATAAGCAAAAACAGAGACAGAAAAAGTTCTAGGGGTACTTGATGGGGGTGGGGAGCTGGTGAAAAACAGACAAGCGTAGCTGGAGCAACGGTTTACAAGGAAATTAGTGGAAGATGAGGCAGGAAAGGAAGCTTGAGGCCAGAAGAAAGACACCATTAGGCTCTTGTTTAATGAATGATACATTGGATGTGAGGACTAGAGGAAGATATTTCTATAGTGGTGGTATGCCAGATGGAAGCTACAAGAATCTACCTGGTCAGGTGTGAGATAATCAGGGCCTGAACTGCACTGGTAGCTCTGGGAACAGAAATGAAGGAAGGATGTAAAATATACAAGGAAGGAAAAACTGAAGTAACTTTATCACTAGCAGGAAGTGAGGAATGCAAAATCACTCTGAGGTGCAACAGAGGTAGGAAAGTCTGCAGGAGGAGCTGATTTGGAAACTGCAGGGGTGGGAGAGGGTGAAGATAAAGAAATGTTCTAGAACAAAAAAAAACTAAATGAGTTTGAATTTTGCAGTGGCCTATCATAACGTGAACTTCAGTTGTTTTTTTGTTTTTCCTGGATAATAAAATGATACTCAAAATTTCTCTGACCTTTGTCCTTTGACCTTGGAAGAAATCACTGCAGTGTTTAAGCAAGGAAACCAGCACTGTGTTCTCATCATACTTGATTAAGAAGTAAGGTAGGGCTGTGACTCCTTCTGTGTGACAAAGATCATCATATGTATGCTCAAGAGCTTGAATCTGAAAACAGAAAACATTGAGTTATTTTCCAGACATTTACAAATCTACTTCTAGGAAAAAATCAACATAAACGGAAAGGCATCTTAAAGTCAGAAGACTGGAAATGACAAATCGCACTCTGATTTGCAGCAACTGAACATGCCCCAAATTATACCACTTAACTTTTATACAACACTTTCAGTATGCCCGGTGCTGTGTCGTAGACAGGTATGGTACAGCCCAGTGCTTCTCTATGATGTCAGCCACAAAGGTTTAAAGAGGTATCCAAACATTCTTCCTTTCCTGTAATAACTCAACACAAACCTACCATTTATGAATTTTACCCAACATAACTCTACTATTCATGAATTTTACTTTTCCATAAACTTTTTTTAAAACGGCTTTACTGAGACATAATTCACATACCGTACAAATCACCCATTTAAAGTGTACAATGGTTTTTAGTATAAACACAGGGTTGTGCAACCATACATTTTTATCTCTCCTAACAGAAGTCCCATACCCATTAGCAGTTAATCCGCATCCATCTTTTTTCCTCCATTTATATTTCTTCTTGGGAAAGTAGTTCCACAAAATTACCACCTTTGATCTGTCCTAAAACTAACCTTTTTTTAAATCAATAAGGACTGCTCCCTGGACTCAGTATTCAGGGTTTTAGTAACTGATACACTTCATGAATTCACATCACCTTGCCACTCAATATTTGCCTTAACAACAATCAGAATTCTTTGGTTTAGGGTCTCTCTTCTACCAGCCTATTTTCATGGTTCTTCTCAGGGTCATCTCTAATGACCTAATCATCTTTCTTAAACCACAAAGACAAGTTCTGCATGCTTCACTCCTGATGAAGAAATTCTGCAACTTGGTATGAGAGTAGAAGAATGTCTTCTATTTTGTCTCAAAGACTCTCTGTAAAGATTCTGGGCGCCTGTGGGCATTTCTGCATTTCAACAAACAGTCATTATGACTTCTGGCCCCTTTCCCGGAGCAGAAGAGAGAGCACAGCACTGAACTTGCTATCTATGAACTTAACAAGGAAGGAAGTCTTCTTCCCAAAGTATATTGCTTTATGTTTCCCCACATTGAAAGTGAAGACCACATTTCAATAAATTCTTGCAGTCTTTTAAAATGTTCCTATAACTCCTCCCGATGACACAGCATGTCACTAAGTGTCACTGAAAACCTGGAAAATTTTTGTTCACTACTTCCTCAAAGTGATTTTTCAAACGCTTTATAAATAAATCTACTCCTAGTACCATCTTTGGAGGACCCCATAGTCACCACCTGTTCATCCAAAGTAGTGCCTATTTGTCTTCAGAATGAACTAGAAAAACTACTTATGCACATTCAACCCAAATTTACTTGCATTTTGTTCTATTTTTTGATACCTGTTTTGGTGAAAACTTTTGATGTAAACCCACTGGCCCTTGAATGAGAGGTATACTCTCTGGGAGACAGAGGGCAGGGTAGCAAAACCAATAGTAGAAGTGGTATTTCTTTAGGTCCTAGAAAAAAAATATAAAATAGGATATTAGAATAGCACCAATAGACACAGATTGCATTACCCCACTTATATGAAATACCTGGAATAGGTAAATCCATCAAGACAAACAAAGATTGGTGGTGAGAGGATGAGAAGTTGTGGAAGGAAGGGGTATGGGAAAAAATCGTCATAGTGTCCACTTAAAATTGGTGAATTGTATTTTAGGTGGCACAAATAGTTTGTGCTCAACTGTTAACCTAAAGGTTGGCAGTACAAACCCACCCAGCAGTACTGCAGAAGAAAAGGCCTGCTGATCTGCTTCTGTTAAGATCAAAACCAAAAACCCCATTGCCATCAAGTTGATTCCAACTCATAGTGACCCTATAGGACAGAGTAAAACTGCCCCCTAGGGTCTCCAAGAAGTGGCTGGTGGATTCCAACTGCCACCACCTTTTGGTTTGTGGCCAAGCTCTTAACTACTACGCCACCAGGGCTCCCTGTTAAGATTACAGCCCAGAAAACTCTATGGAGCAGTTCTACTCTGTAACACATGGGGTTGCCATGAGTTGGAATCAACTCGACAGCAACTAACAACAACAACAAACTCCTCAACAAAGATTAAAGAAAACAGAACAGCACAGATAATTAAACTGAAATGCATCTATTAATACAACCTCTCATAGTCACTTAAGACAAAAAAACTGACACAAAATATGACCAGCTTGTCAAATATTCTCACCTCCAATAGAACTCTTGATAGAATGCAGAGCTTCTATCTTTATCCCAGAATACTCTCGCATGTGCATACCACACACTAATCTTATCATGATAAACGTAATATACTTTATTAGCTACTTGCTAACACAGAAAATGTTGATTAAGTGGTTGACATTATCATCACCATTATTTAATACACAAAACCACTCTGGGAGGCAGCTATTATCATCCATTTTATAAAAAGAAAACTGAATGAAGCTTAGAGAGGGATAACAAAACAAAGCTGGAAAGTGGCAGAGAGGGGATCAGAAATCTGCATCCAAAACTGGAGCGTTTTCCTAATGTATCATATATACTCAACATACCATCTGTAGAGGCATGACTCCAAAACATAGTATCATTCTCTTCACAATCAGATAAATTAAGCCTGTTACGAAAGAGGCTGTGCTAGTTACACACTGTATGTGGCTGAAATAATACACTGTGTTTTCACGCAAAAAACTCGCACCTTCTGTGTTTGTTTGCTAGCCGCGCCTTCCCACCCTCCATGCACCCTCACAAACACCTTGCCAATCCTCTTCCACATGTTGCTGTAAAAAAAAAAAAAAATTAGCATAATGTACTTAATAAAATTTGTGTTGGCAGGCAAACAAATGCAGAAAGTGCTCGTTATTTGCATAAAAATAAGGTAATGTTGTTTTCAGAAATTTCTTGTTAGTGAAATTCAAGTCAACAACTATTAAGCACTTGCTATGTACAAGAACCACCACTCATTTATCAGTTTGTTGTACTACAGTGGCTTGCGTGTTGCTGTGATGCTGGAAACTATACCACAGATATTTCAAATACCAGCAGGGTCACCCATGGTGGACAGGTTTCAGCAGAGCTTCCAGACTAAGAGACTAGGCAGAAAGGCCACTTTCAAAAATCAGCTAATGAAAACCCTATGCATCACAAGAGAATATTTTCTGATACAGTGCTAGAAGATGAGCCCCCTAGGTTGGAAGGCACTCAAAATGCACAGTGGCCGCAAAAAATGAACTTAAGCATACCAACGATCATGAAGATGGCGCAGGACCAGGCAATGTTTTGTTCTGTTGCACGTGGGGTCACCATTAGTTGGAGCCAGCTTGATGGCAATTAATAACAGCAACAACATGTACAAAGAAAACACTGGACACTGTGACAATAAAAAGATGAGTAAAATCCATTCCCAGTCCTTGGGCAGCTGCTCACTCTACGCATGGGACAGAGACAAAGTGAGGACATGATTAACTGTCACAGAAGAGGCTCCCAGTACTAAGGAGCACTGATGATATAAGCAGTTACATCTTCACAGGGGTACCTGACTGCTCCTGGACCAAGGGAAGGTGTGCAGGGGACAGGATCTGAAAAGCTGTCCTTGACACTTTGACACTATCCCCTGCTCATGTCTCTGGATTCCCAAAGCATCCATGGCCTGAACCACCTATATGGTAGGATCATGTAGTTATGTGGGTGTCTGACAGATTCCCTGCCCGTCTGTGACCACTGAATACTAACACAGTTTATCTGGCTAATTAATATTTCTTCTTGAATCTTGCTAAGAATGAAAACTGAGTGGCTATTAGATTATTATTATTATTTTTTTACTGAGATAGAAATCACATACCATAAAATTTTTAAAGTGCACAGTTTAGTGGTTTTTAGTATATAGACAAGGTTGTGCCACCATCACCACTAATTCAAGAACATTTTCATCACCCCCAAAAGAAACCCTGTACTCATTAGTAGTCACTCATCACTTCCCCCTATCCTCAGCCCCTGGCAACCACTAATCTACCTTCTGTCTCTATACATTTGCCTATTCTGGACTTTTCAGATAAATGGAATCATACTAGATAACTTTTTAGGTATAAATTTACCCATAAACGTGTGTCCAGATGAGAAAGTCAAGCAATTAGAGTTCCTACAATCTCTAATTCTGTCATTAACTGATCAATTAAGAGTAGATTCCTTTTGACAATGGCAAGACAAACTGCAAAATTGAAATTAATGAAGTCTCTGTTCCTCTGAGTCCTAAAAACAGCAGAAAGGAAAGTGAAAACATCTCCAGAGACCATTATCTCTTTGTATTTAAATGATTTGTCATAACTGATCTTTAGTAAAAGGTTAAACAATTCAAGATCAAGGACTTCACAATTTCTAAGACGCTTTAGCAGGTCATCTTCAAAAGGCTTGAATTTCTTTAGGATTCTTTTCAAGATACAAAGGACCTCAATTAAATTAAACACAAAGCTCTTTGTGTCTGAAGACTTCAAAAGATATAGACGTTTATTTTAAAGCCAAGCTAAGAACGTTTAGTAAAAAGGGCAAAAAAGCCAACACACGTACTGACTACAGGAAACGCCTTAAATTTGGAGTGAGATCTAAAGTTATTTATCTCATTAAAAGCACACGGTCGATTATGTTCTACTAACTAGAATCCCTAGTATAGAAAATGTATTGATGTTCAAGTTACAAAACCAGAAATCTTTAGCTCTTCCTACATCTAGGCTAGTAGAGAACCCGCAAAATTACTCAAATTTATGGACAAATTATCAAGGTTAAATTGCACCTAGTAAGGATCCCTGGGTGGCACAAACTGTTAAGCCATTGTTGGTGGTTCAAACACTCTCAGAGGTGCCTTGGAAATCAGGCCTGGTGATCTGCTTCCGAAAGGTCACCGCCTTGAAAACCCTATGGAGCACAGCTCTACTCTGCACATCTGGGGTTACCATGAGTTGGATTCAACTTGATGACAACTAACAACAACAAATCTGATGAAGAATGTAAACATTTTTGTGTCTCTCCCACTATTACGTAGAAAGCATTATAACCCTTTCATTACTACATTTTTGCTCCTTTTTTTTTTTTTTTTTTTAGCATGAGTTTTCAGTACTAGAATGCATGCTTACTAACTGTAAGACAGGGTTCCCCAGGCTGCAGAAAAGTCTACTGCCTCAAGCAGCTTGCTTGGCATGCCCCATAGCTTTACGTTAGAAGCCTGGTTTCTTTGCTTGGCCTGCCCCATAACTTTACATTAAAATCTTGGTTCCCCTCTCAACTGTTGCCCCAAAACTAGAGGAAATTGACGGAAACTGGTTTAGGCACCATGTTGACACTCAGGACAACCTTTTAGCTCATTAAATACCTCATGCATAGTAACTCCTCGCCTCTGGGTAGAGTTTAACAGCAATTTTCTGAGCATGCGATGCATGCAGTTATATGTAAATCCCATTGCATCTGCATAATATGATTAAGAATGTTGCTGATGTAACTTGTATGAACTCCCTACTCGTTATCTCCTTAAAAGTAACCATCCCCCTGCCCTTGCTGAGCAGTCTTGGCAGCAGCAGCCCCAACTGTCTCCTTTCCTCATGCAACTAAATAAAGGTGCCTTTCTACTCTCCCACCTCAGTCTCTCGTTTATTGGCTGAGACAAGTCATGCTGAGCAGAACCTGGAGTTTCCACACAGCAACAATTGAGCGTGTTTAAATTTTTGGTTGATAATGGATTTGAAAAATATGATCTGGAAATACAATTCACCAATGAGACTGAGCACTAGGTAGATAATTTATTGCTGACATCTTTCCATCAGGTTACCTGGGGAACCTCTAGTTTTCCAAAACGAACCCATAAGGTCTCCCTAACTATCACACAGGAAAGTCATAATTATGTTTGCAAGCCTTATTTCACAGAGACAAAGGAGGAAAAAAAAGCATAAGTTTACAAAACTAACACATTCAGGAAGCATCATCTAATAGAATGCTCAACCTATACAACAGTGAGGCTCCAACTCTGGTCTGCTGAGCTTCACACATTTCAAAAGGGACCCACCTTGCCGCTAAATGCATTAGAACTGGAATAATCTCTTACCTCTGAGGACCAGAGGCATAAAAAGTGACTGGCATACCCTTTATGCCAATGGTAAGTAAAGATAACTGGCTTCTAATAGATAACCACCCTCTGACATGGCCTCCAGCTTGATTTCTGTTCTCTCCTCCTTTGCCTTGGGCAGCAAACCAGGGAGGCAGCATTTAGGAGAAGAAAAAGAGGATTATTTCCTGGGGGAGGAAGAAAGGGAAGACCTATGACTCGGCAAAAAAAAAAAAAGTGGGAAGAATTAATGCCCAAAGCTGTTGAAGTTGTGGTGAAACACACTTGATACAGATCCACATCAATATATTTATATGCCCACTCCAAAGAAGTTATTCTAAAGAAATAAAATCAGCAGGAAAAAAAAAATCACTATGGCCAATATTGTTCACTGTAGCACTTATTATAATAGTGACTATTGGAAAAAACCTAACTGTACAACAGGAGTCTATGGAACATATACTTGACAGAATATTATACAGTTGTCATAATTATAAAGAATAAGTTAGTTATGTATATAAAATACCCACATACGTGCATATGTACATGTGTCTTGTGTGTGTGTGTTTCTGTGTGTGTGCACGCACCTGTCATCTGTACAATCAACCCTTACCTTTTCCCCATTTTCCCTACCACCAAGGCCAGGTCTTTCCTTCCACCTTATTACCCCCACCTCTCTAGGCAGCAGATGTTACTCTACTGTGATTTCTTTTCCTCTTCAAGGCTGCCCTTAATGTTCATTTTAATTCAGTCTCACATATATAGAACATTTTTTTCTATCTTTCTTAAAAAAACAAAACAAAAACTGGTGGTCAAGCCACATAGCGCAATCTCCTCTAATCCAGAAGCCCCCTGGGGAGAGTTGATCCAAGAGACTCCAACCTTTCCTTATGCTGACAGACCAGCAATGGAGCTCTGCAGGACTGCTTTTAACAAAGACATTAACCAAAACCCAAACCAAACTCATTGCTGTGGAGTCCTTAGCGACAATGAAATCACTACTTCCTGAACATGACTTCATCAGGTCCTGAATAACAAGTCAGGCCATTGTGCTAGATAAACTACTGCAGCTATTAACAGTGCAATCAGTGAGAATGAATTAATTTTGCATTGGGAATAAGCACCGGCATCTGGCCACTAATAAAATGACCATCGCTCTAACAGCTGTAACTTGAAAGCCACAAGTTAAGAGCTTCAGAGAGAACAGACTGTGGTGCTGGTACACTGGGTTGAGCCAGGGGATTTCACTAGTCTCAATGCAACAGAAAGTGCATTTACTTACTGCAAATGTCAAGAGGAGGAACTTGTTGAGAAGTACAGGGTTTTCAAGAGCAGTGCCTGATTTTATTGATTCCCATATCTGTCAGAAGAAAGAAAAGAGTCAAGGTGGGTTATCATGCATCTCAGAGCTTCTCGTCCTCAAGAGAAACACAGAGCTGCAAAGGCCCACACTCTCCTTCCCTGCAGGCCTGGCACTACTTGTCCCGGGCAATGAAGTGGGCTGTTACCTTGCTCTGCCCACTTCACACTGCCTCTCCCCTAGCCCCACTCCCCTAGGATTCTAAGGAGAATGAAACAACCCAGAAGCCTCCTCTAAGTGGGTCTCAGCATCAGAGAAGGCAACCAGGTCATTTTCATGCCTTCATCATTTCCTTCAACAAATATTTACTTATTGTCTACTCTGTACTAGGCACATGAGAGTTACAGAAATAAAGGACACAGTCCCTAGCCTCAGGAAGCTCATAGTCTAGTGAAGGAGATAGGCTTAAATGTAGGAGTACAACATCACACAGGATTTGCCATCACAGTAGTATGTAGAATTCCTGGGAAAAAAACCAGCTGTGACTCTAACTCATGGCGATCCCACGAGCGTCAGAGTAGAACTGTGCTCCATAGGCTTTCCAGTGGCTGATTTTTTGGAAGCAGATCACCAGGCCTTTCTTCCGAGGCACCTCTGGGTGGACTTAAGCCACCAATTTTTAGTTAGCAGCTAAGCATGTTAACCATTTGCACCACCCAGGGACTCCAGAATTCCTGGGAGGAACACTAAACTCAGCTGGAGAGGTAAGAGGCAAAGAGTTAGGCAGAGTTCTCGGAAAAAGTGATCTGAACTACGTACAGAGAATTTCTTAAAGTCTTATTTTGGATTATCTTGCCCTGCGAGATGTGGAAAGGAGAACAAACTTCAAGTTTGTGTATACTCAGCAAGTACTGTGACTGACAAACCAAAAGTTAACAGCTGGCACTAGTCAGCAGCTGCTGATTATAAGATCTTTTAATAACTAAGATGAGTTGCTCAACTTTGTGCCACTAAGCAAGACAATTAAGCAAGTTAAGCCCATAAGGCCCATTCCACAGTATGGGTCTAAGAGGTAAATGAGTAGAGAGAAGGAAGTTCCTGCTACTGAAATAATAGGGTTTGAAAAGTGGGAACACTGAAGAGTAGGCTCTACTCTGATAGGCTGTGAAAGAAGTGGGGGTGAGGGCCCAGGAACTACGTTGCAAAGTCTGGGCCCTGGTCATGGGTTGCGATTCCTGTGAAGAGCAACCTGCTTTTTTAGATGATATACTGAGACCTGACTCTATTCTCTGGAGATTCCCTTTTAAATGTGCAGCCAAAGGAGGAGGCCCAGGGGCAGTCAAGCGGTAGGCCAAGAAAAATGACCATCACCACCTGAGCCATTGGCTCCACCATCATGGGGGAGGTGAGAGAAGCCTGCCTTGGGATGAAAGGTGGAAGACATCCTCTCTGACTTCTGCACCCAAATAGGTAGGACTCACTTGTTTTTTAAGACTGGTGTAAAGACCGCTCAACCAGGTAGTTAGAGAGGGCTGGGATAAGCTGTCCCCCTTCACCCTGCCCACTTTAATTCCTCCAACTCAAATGCGAAGAAGTAAAGATGCTCCAGGCACAGAGACATCATGTCCAAACAATAGAGAACACAAAATAGGTTAGGAGAATTGGAAGCAGTTTGCTGTGGCTGGGTTAGAGAATGCAAAGAGGCCAGCAGAGGCTGGGTCATGCAGGGTAGTGAAAATAAGACTAAGCAGTTTAGATTTAGCCCGAAAGGTACTGGAGAAACTATCTGATAATTTCTTATTGCATTATGGTGCTTAGGACTTGTGAAGCCTCTCCAAGGAGCACAAAGAACAGGGTTCCCAAACGTATCCAGAAACTCTCAGAGGTCAAACGGCTTCAGACTGCCTACTTGGGGATCAGCAGCAAAGCTGACTCAACCACTGCCCTGCCATTAATTTCTAGCCCATCCCGGGGTGGGAGTCTGGATGTCTTCTCCTCCAACCTTCCCACCAACACAAAAGGAGAGAGCTGGGAGAATTCCCTGTGGGGGAATAAACCAACACCCACAAACACTTTTGAGTCCTGTTATGGATTGAAGTGTGTCCCCCCAAAAATGTGTGTCAACTTGGCTAGGCCATGATTCCCAGTACTATGTGACTGTCCACATCCTGTCGTCCGATGTGATTTTTCTATGTGTTGTAAATCCTACCTCTATGATGTTAATGCAGCAGGATTAGAGGCAGTTATGTTAATGAGGCAGGACTCAATCTATAAGATTAGGTTGTATCAAGTCAATCTCTTTTGAAATATAAAAGAGAGAAGTCAGCAGAGAGACGGGGGGACCCCATACCACCAAGAATGAAGAACCAGGAGGGGGATGCATCCTTTGGACCTAGGGTCCCTGTGCTGAGAAGCTCCTAGACCAGTGGAAGATTGATGACAAGGACTTCCCCCAAGAACCGACAGAGAGAGAAAGCCTTCCCCTGGAGCTGGCACCCTGAACTCGGACTTCTAGCCTCCTAGACTGCGAGAGAATAAATTTCTGTTTGTTAAAGCCATCCACTTGTAGTATTTGTTACAGCAGCACTAGATAGCTAAGACAAGTCCCTACTGCATACTCGTTTCTATGACAGACCGGTGGCCCTGATTAGAAACCCCACAGCTGCCAAGACCAAAAAAATCATGACTGACACGTTTTTCCATCTGACCTCATTTGCTGCTTGTTCCAAAAGTAGCTTCTTATCTGCAGTCTTGAAGGACTCAAGTGTATTGGTGTTATAAAGTGTTCCAACAGCTGGGCAGCAATGGGCTGGGGTGGGAGCACTCCTAGAGACAAGAGACACATGATCAACCAGGCACAGCTGGGATTCAGAGAAGGCCAAAAAAAAAACCTGATGCTGTCAAATCCATTCCAACTCATGATGACCCCATGTGTGTCAAAGTAGAACTGCTCCGCAGGGTTTTCTTGGCTGTAATCTTAACAGAAAGGAGCCCCAGTGGTGCAACAGTTAAGTGCTCAGCTGCTAACTGAATGATTGGTGATTTGAACCCATCCAGCAGCACTATGGGAGAAAGACCTGGCAATCTGCTTCCGTAAGGATTACAGCCAAGAAAACCCTATGCAGCAGTTCTACTCTGTCATATCAGGTCACTATGAGTCAGAATCTATTCACCAGTACCCAACAACAACAATCTTAACAGACACAGATTGCCAGGTCTTTCTTCTGTGGCACCACTGGGTGGCTTCAAACTGACAACCTTTTGGTTAGAAGTTGAGTGCAAACCATTTGTGCCACCCAAGGACAGAGAATGCCAGTGAGTGACAAAAGCACTCCAGTAGTGGGAGCCAAAGGATACTGCTCTCTTGGGCAAGTAGAAGATTGTTCATTTCTTTGGCAACAGATGAATATCATCACCTAAGTCACCGTTCCCCCCAAAAGGCTATACATTGTCTTTATCCTAACCTCTCAGCATGCCATTCTTCTGCTCTCCCCCAAATATCAAGTTCATTTCCTATTTTTCATTCTTTCCAACCTTCAACTGAAAGAGAAACACTATTTATTGAGCTTCTACTGTGCCACGAACTATGCAAGGTTTTCACTTAATTCTCCTAACAGCTCTTTCTTCCATTTAAAGATGAGGATATAAGCCTCAGAAAGGTTTAAGTAGCTACCCTAAGGTCACATCATAATAGGCAGAGCTAGAATCTAAAACCAAACTATTTGACTCCAAGGTACTAAACTGCCTACCCCCACTCAAACCCTCCCAGGCTTCAAGGCCCTTCCAGGAAGCCATCTCACCATCTTCTCTGGTAATATTTGGTGCATAAAACTAAGCATATTTTAGAGCATTTTCAAAAACAATAGTCACATACATCCAACTGGAAGGCAGTAAGCTCCTTGAGGACAGGGAACAAGTCTTCTTCTCTGGTCTCTGCCACAGTGTAGCCCAGCCCAAACAGGGCTCTACCCTGAACTGTTGCTGAGTGAACCCCTGGTGATTGTCTGAGTCACCCACACAAAGCGTATTACACCTGGGCTACCTGTCAATATCTTGTGCTGCACAGTTTACATTCTACATTGCCCCTGAAAGCCTCACAGTCTTCAGAGTAACCAAAGTCAAGGGAGGAGAAGAGGAGTTGATTCCGAATACAAATTCAGATGTGGAACAAATCTGATCTCTTCTCTGAAATGATGTGTTTCAGAGATTTGGTTTTCATTTGCTAAATGAAAATATTCATTTCATTAGTAGCCTAATATTATTGCCATTTACAACTAATGAAGAATGAGTGCATTTTTACTGATTGCACTAAAAACCCGGTGCCTCAAATGTCTCTTTATTCAGAGTCTGTGTGCAGTTGGTACAGCGGGGTTGCAGGGAGAAGAGATATGAGCTCAGAACAGCTGTGGAGGCGTGCGATGGGCAATGATGCTCTGTGTATAAGGCTCAAACACCAAGTCCTGGGGGAGAACTAACTCTCATGGCTACAGCCTTCCCTTGGGAGCTGTTGAGTCAGCAAATGTCAGGTGTTTGTCACCACTCTCCTCCAATAAAAGAATACTTGTCATCCAGGTGAGATGAGATTATCAAAGAAGAAGAGAAATCACAAAGGGGCAAGATCAAGCCCAGAGAGAAGAAGAAGGAAGCAGAGAACTGGTAAACCATACCTTCTTTATCTAGACCTGGCTTTCTGAAATGACTGCTGAAGCAGGATGCCGGAACAGAAGGAAGGATGGCGGTGCTGCATTTGGACCTGATCTCATCTGGATGCAAGCACAAGAGCAGGAAGGTACTAGTTCAACAAGACACTCTCCTTCCTAAATGTCCAAATGTCTCCAGGTGTGGGAATGCCATGCCAAAGCCTTGCTCTGAGAGGGAAGGACACTACATCCCCAAAATTCATATACCTGCCAAGACGGCTGGGCTCCTAGGAACATCAGCACTCATGTAACTTAATTACCTGACGACAACCAGAAGTTTCAAAGGAGAAGCATTTTTCATGACTGAAGTTCCACGCTGGTGGTGCAACAGTTAAGCATTTGACTGCTAACCGGAAATTAATTTGCTATATAAACTTTCACCTAAAGTATGATAAAATGTTAAAATAAATAAATTGAGGCATTATTAAAATACAAAAAAAAAAAAAATGTATAGCCTTGGAAACCCTATAGCGCAGTTCTACTCTATCATATAGGGTCACTATGAGTTGAAATTGACTTGAGGGCACACAACAATAACAAGATACAAAACTGACATACTCCTGGCGTCTACAAATGAAGACTAAGATTGTTAGCTCTCCAACTGTATCTTCTTCCTCTCTGTCTGCCCACTTCCTAGCACATTCTATTATCAAGACACAGAGGAAGCCATCAATAAGTATTTCTGAAATAACTATTACCACTCCTCATTTACTACAGCACGGAACACACTGTAATGCAAATATTTGTCTTCCACCTCCCTCTCTCATACTACAGGGAGCTCCTCCAGAGACCCAGGTTTCCTAAGTATTTGCATTCCTAACACCTACACATCCACAGAGAAGAGGCACTGAATGTTTTATGAATAGATTCACAAGGACTTTCCATACCAAACCATGCAGATATACAGCAATAAAAAGAAAGATAAAAATAAAAACCAATTGCCATCTAGTCTTTCCAACTCACAGTGATCCCACGTGTGCAGAGTAGGATTGCTCCATAGGGTTTTCAAGGCTGTGACCTTTTGGAAGCAGATTGCCAGGTCTTTTATCCAAGGCACCTCTGGGTGGGTCTGAACCACCGATTTTTCAGTTTGCAGTCAAGCACTTAATCATTTGCACCACCCAGGGACTCAAAAAAAAAAAAAATTTTTTTTTTAAAGATACAGTAATAATAATGAAAGTAATTTGGATATAAAGAACTTGTTCCTTCTGAAGGGCCCCAAATATTCTTTCATTAAACTTGCCAATAGTCATGGATTGAATTGGTCCCCCAAAAATACCTGTCAACTTGGCTAGGCCACAATTCCCAGTATTGCCTGACTGTCCACCATTTTGTCATCTGATGTGATTCTTCTGTGTTGTAAATCCTATCTCTGTGATGTTAATGAGATGGGATTAGTGGCAGCTATGTTAATGAGGCAGGACTCAATCTGTAAGATTAGACTGTATTTTAAGCCAATCTCTTTAGAGATATAAAAGAGAGAATTAAGCAGAGAGGAGAGGGACCTCCTAACACAAAGAAAGGAAAGCTAGAGGTGGAGCATGTCCTTTGGATCCAGGGACCCTGCGCTAAGAAGCTCATAGACCAGGGGAAGATTGATGACAAGGACCTTCCCCCAGAACTGACAGAGAGAGAAAGGCTTTCCTGGGAGCTGGTAATCTGCAATTGGACTCCTAGCCTCCTAAATTATGAGAAAATAAATTTCTCTTTGTTAAAGCCATCCACTTGTGGTATTTCTGTTATAGTGGGACTAGATAACGAAGACATTTTTAAAAGATATAAAGGTTAACATCTTTTCAGACTTATATTAACCTATTAAATTTTGAAATCTGATTAAAAAAAGAATAAATGTATTGACTTTTGGAGAGAGATTGAGAAAAAAATCTGGGGGTACTTTATTCGAAATACTCTAACTTGACTTCTGCCAGTTTCAAAAGCCAGGCGTGTCTTACACAAGGACCTCTTTACCTTCCCCAAATCCCTTATCTTGGCATTGCTGAACTAGAAAGCAGAAAAAATGGACCTCACTGTAGCCTTTAATTCCTTGACCCTCAATTATCCTAAAGCCTCACAATATGCTCTACCCTTCTGTGCGCAAGCCAAATTCTAAAAAACCACAAATGACCCAATCAACAAATCCCATGACCCTGATATAGAACTATGACCCCTTTGCTTCTGACAAGGTTGACCATCTCTTTGCTTTCTGAAAACATTTCCTTCTTTGATGTCTTCTTCTCTGATAACTCCTGTCTCTTTGCTGATTCTGTATCCTCTTTCCCCTCCATAAATCAGGTGCATTCACTGTTTTGGGCTTTTGTTCTCACACTCTATTATCTTTCCCTCTTATAGCCTCATGATCTTCTCTACATGGATGACTCCCAGACCTAGTCTGACCCTCCTACTTGACTCCAGTGCCTGCTGGATATTTCTATCGGACAATGTCATTTCTAACTCAATGTTTTCTAAATGAAACTTATCTCCCCTGAAAACTGTAGCTCCTTCCTGATTTCCCTATTTCTGTAAAAGATAACAAAATATCCCTAGCTACTCAGAAATATATTTTATTTTTCTCCCACCTGTGCTTCCAAAATTTAGCCAGGTGTGACCTTGAGCAAGCCATTTTACCTTTCTGATCCTCAGTCTCCTCTTGTGAAACACAGAGAAAAATCACACCTGGTAGGTCTGAAAGAATTATGTATATTAAAGTGTCTAGTTCAGTAACTGCTCAATAAAGGTCTCTCTTCTCACCAGTAACAGCCCCAAACCAGGCAAAAATTCTTCAAGGGCATGTTGTTTGTTGTTGTGTGTTGTCAAGTCAAATGCGACTCATACTGACACCATATGACAGAGTAGAACTGTCCCACAAGGTTTCCTAGGCTGTAATCTTTACAGGAGCAGATCGCCAGGTCTTTCTCCTGTGGAGCTGCTGGTGAGTTCGAACCGCTGACCTTTCAGTTAGCAGCCAAGCGCTTAACCATTGCACCACCAGAGCTCCTTTTCAAGGGCCTGTCGTATTCCTTTGTATAACCTCACAAAGCCTTGCACAGTGGCTTGTACACAGAAGTAGCCTAATAAGCATTCATTGATTGACACCCATGGATGAACACAGAAGGACTATGTTGTTGTTGTTAGCAGCCATCAGGCTGGCCCCTGATTCATGGTAACCCCATGCACAATGGAACAAAATGCTGCCCAGTCCTGCTCTGTCCCTATGATTGGTTGCAGTTTGGACCACTGTGATCCACAGAGTTTTCACTGGCTGCTTTTTGGAAACAGATCACCAGGCCTTCTTCTTAGACCGTCTGAGTCTGGAAGCTCTCCTGAAACCTGTTTAGCATCACAGCAACACACAAGCTTCCACTGACAGATGGGAGGTGGCTGTGCATGAGATACCAATGAAAGATCACCAAATACCAACTATAATCAAAATTGGGAAAGATGTTATCTAAGTCTCAATCAATCTAGATGGTACTTAGCACCTAATAAAAACCAGTTACCATTGAGTCAATTCCGATTCATCGTGACCTCACGTGTGTCAGAGTAGAACTGTGCCCCATAAGGTTTTCAGTGGTTGATTTTTCAGAAGTAGATCACTGGGCCTTTCTTCTGAGGTGCCTCTGGGGGAACTTAAGCCTCCAAGCTTTTGGTTAGCAGCCGAGCACATTAACCATTTGCACCACCTGGCACCTATTAGGCTCTGAGAAATATCTGCTGAAAAAAATAAAGCAGCTATTCTTAAACAGCTAGCACTTGTCTCTGTGCTATGGAAGGAACAAGAGAATCATGAGGCACTGGTCCTGGTCAAGGCGGAGCTGCTAACCAAAAGGCTGGTCCACATATGAAGGAGTTAAGAGTGCTCATCTCTTGCCAAAAGTGAACAGTATTCTTTACTTTAGATTTTGAGCAAATAAATACTCACATGTCAAACGCGCTGTACTCCAATGTTAAACGAGCTGGCAGCCCAGCAGAATCACCTGGACAGAAGCATCATCACATTTTCAGTTTCAGTTCAAGGTTTCAAGAGATCCCAGGGCAATAGTCTCGAGGAGCCAGTAATAGCAGCATTAATGACAAAGTGCTTGAGAATAATGTTCTCTTTGTTGAGCCCAAAGCGGTCCACCCAATTCCTGATTATCCCAGATACACAGGGGCTTAGCAGAATGTGACAGAGCTCTTGTGAATATGTGGAATTTTCCAAGAATTTAAAAAAGATTTGTTGGAAAAAATATTTCCAATCTCCTTCCCCAGCAATACTGAATGATTAGTATCAAATACTTAGATTAATGACTTTCCCCACATCTGGGGAAAAGAAGTGAAAGTGAACTTGGATCAAAAGTCAGGAAGCAAAAGAGAAAGCACTGAAGAGCATTAATTACAAAAGACAAGTGTCCCATTCTAAAGGAAAGTGGACACTACACTGGGGGACAGAGGGGATAACAGAAGATGAAGGAAGATGGAGTTCACTATGGCCTACCATTGTAGTAATAACCCTTAATGTCCTTGGGAGCTTCATCCAGCCGATACTCATTCAGCTTCTTCTGGGTCAACTCATGCCAGAATCCAACATCCAAGGCACTGCTAAAGGGGGCAAACTGCAATTTGGAGAGTCCTGGATCCCCCGTAGCTGCCATTATTTGTTGCCTACTAAAAACAAAACAGAAACAGCAAAATAGCATACGCACACAAAAACTGATGTGGAAGAACATTTGGAATAAGGCTTAAAACAGACAAACAAAAACATGCGCAATGAGAGGGATGCAGGCTATCTTAAGACACAACTTTTAAAACCACCCGGAGTAATCTGCCTATGGTGCCATGTTTAGTCTCCTCAAGACACAACTGATTTTTCTAACTCTCCAGTTTCTGATCTTCCTTTCTAGTTAGAATCAGCCTGACTGGTGCACCAGTGTTACATTTTTCTTTCTCCAATACAGTCCCAGTCCCAGCAGTTTTTGCCACCCTGTGTAGACATAGAGAACTCTACAAGTACAATATCAACCATCCCTCAGAAGGAGCCCTGGTGGCGCAGTAGTTAAGAGTTACCGCTGCTAACCAAAAGGCTGGCAATTAGAATCCACTAGCTGCTCCTGGGAAACCCTGTGGGGCAGTTCCACTCTGTCCTATAGGGTTGCTATGAGTCGCAATCAACTCAATGGCAACGGGTTTGGTCAGTTACAGACACAACAATTCACACAGACTTGTGTGGGAGAGCGTGCTTTGGCCTTCCTGGCTGAGGAGGAGAATGAGTAAGTTTCTCCCCACTCCCTTGGTACCTGAATTTCTATGAAATCTTGTATTTTATGTTTTAAGTGCACGAAATTTTTTTTAAGAATTGTTTCCCATACAAAAATTTATACATACATTGTTATGTGACTCTAACTGCTCTC